CTTGCTAGTTCTCTATTTTAAATTAAGGCATGGTAGGTTATTTCTTTCAAGAGTAAAGGTTTCTTTAAGCAGGAATCTTTCAAATTACTCATTTTTTTTCTTGTTTTTGTAGATAAGTCTTTCACTGTTCAGCCTTGCTTTACTGCGCCTGGCTGACAAAACTGCATTACATTGCAGTTAACAATGGCTAATGATTAAAAAGGGCTTATATTTTATTCTTAAAGTATTGCTCTCTTTTAAGATGCTTATTTGACTATTCTTCCTTACTACCTTGCTACCATTCTTTTAAGTATTTACTTTCAGTCCATGGAATTAATGTCAATTTATAAAGAGCTGTTCCACTGAGGAGTTTTTGAATTATAACTATATTATGCAAGGATCCCGTTTTTTGCTACAGTTTTTTAGGTCCAGTAATTCCTTAGCGAAGAATTCTGTATTGGATTAATACATTTGTTAGCAATTACTTGATAGGAGAAAACATGTTGAACTATTACTTTAAAGCTACTTATTTTATATATAATTACCCTGAATGTCTCCTTTCTAGCACTTTTTCTCCATGTGATATGCCTGTTGTTCATCAAGTTAGAAATAGTCCATGGGGCAATTAAAATTACTTTCTCAATTGATAAAGAAGAATACAGGATGGAATTTTAGATTAATGAGCAAAAACACTCAGTACCTATTGAAGTGACCATATGTTAGGAAGTAGTCAGAGTCAGGAATTCTATCTCACCCACTTTTGTTTCACCAAAATCTAGTACAATTGCAGACCTTCTTCCCCTCCACCGCCATCCCATTTGTTTCCTCCTTTCTTCCCTTCCTGCAATTGAGACATAGGATTTTAGAGTCTAGGACAGAGATAAAACTGGAGATGTGAATTTGAGAGTTGCCTTAATATAAATGGTAGTTAAGATTATGAACTGGAGGACATTACCTGGGGTGTTTAGAGGATAAATCAGCAAAGGAAACTTGGAAGGAATAGTCAGTGGAATAGAAGGCAAACAAGCAGTGAGTTTTCAAATCAGCCAAAGAAGTGACTTGAAAAGGGGAAGAGGCCAGATGCGGTGGCTCATACCTGTAATCCCAGCACTTTGGGAGGATGAGGCAGGCGGATCACTTGAGGTCAGGAGTTCGAAACCACCCTGGCCAACATGGTGAAACCCCGTCTCTACTAAAAATGCAAAAATTAGCCAGGGGTGGTAGCACATGCCAGTAGTCCCAGCTACTTGAGTGGCTGAGACAGGCAAATCACTCAAACTCATGAGGCGGAGGTTGCAGTGAGCCAAGATCACACCACTGCACTCCAGCCTGGGCCACAGAATGAGACTCCGTCTCAAAACAAAACAAAACAAAACAAAACAAAACAAAACAAACAAACAAAAAACAGGGTGGGGGGTGGTGTAGAAAATAGTCAACTATGACACATGCTTTTAAGAGGGAGACAAAAGAATAAGGAATAAGAATTGACTATTAAATTTGACTCTAAGTACTTGGAACAAAGGCCTGATTGGAGTGAGATGAAAAAAAAATTGGAAGTGAGGAATAAAGATGGTGACTTTAGATACCTCTTTTGAGAGAGATGATTGTAAAGGAAAGCAGAGAAGAGAGTGATAGCTGGAAAATTTAAGTTGTAGGTGGGCGTATTTTAAACAGTGGGCAATTTAAAAATTCACATGTAAGCCAATATAAATAATACAACATAGACAAGGAAGAATGAGATGATGCAGAGAGGGGTGTAATAATTACAGGAGAGTAATTACTACATGGATAAAAAGAATAGGATTCACAGTACAGTTTGATCAGTTGGCATTAGATGGAATGGACACTTCTTCCATCGTGATGTCAGCAGAAACAGTGTTTCCTTCAGCTGTGCACTTCAGATCTGGTGATGGAAAGATGAAGTAGGTCTCATCTGATATCTTCTATTTTCTCAATGAAGTATGAGTAAGATGAAATGTTTGAAGTGGAGGAAAGTGATATAAAAGGCTTATGGAAAGGAGAGAAGCTATAGCAATAGTCATTTAGGAGAGTGAAAAGTAGACTTTGTGGCAAATGTCTGATTTCAACATTGAGCTGCCGCAGGAAAACATGCAAATCTGCTTTAAACAAGTAAAGTACCCTTTTCTGGGTACGTATCAAGTGCCACATCTTTATTGTAGGCCATATTATGTCAGCACCATTATTTCTCTACTGTGATTCAGAAACCTAGGAATTTCTTTTATCTTGCTCTTCATCTCATTGTTCATTTAGACATTTTGAACATATTTTATTTTTCACTTCCATGTTTCTGTGTTGGAGGAGAGACTTCCAAATGTTTTCAAGGGAAATAAAGGTAGAACTTACATTTCACTTCTCTGATTCTCTGTTTTACTGTTTATAAAATGGGAGTAATACTTTCTATGTACAGATTTGTGGTTAAGAATTAGAGATGATATGTATAAAATACTGACCCATAATAGGCAATCAACAAATGAATATTGTAATTTTATTACCACTAAGTATTATTCTTCCACCCAGAGAATAAAAAGATCTTGCTTCCTCTTTAAAATACAACTTTAACTTGGCACAGTGTTTCTAAGTTTCTTACGCATTAATTTGGTTGGAACATAAAATATTTTACTGAATGATATTTTGTATTTTGGGCTTTATAATGTTTTTAGGGCCTTGGTAATGTAATACTTGAGAAAGAATAGACTTCAAACAGAAAATTTATTTCCTCATGAGATTTTATTTTTATTACACAAAGAAAATTATAATGAATAATGTAATTTGAAAAGCCCAAACAATAATAACAGTGAGGAGGGAAAATGGAGTAAAAAAGACAAAACATAACTTGAAAGGGATTTTTGAAAAATGTCGTAAATATTATCCACATCCTCTTTGTTTATTAATAATGTTGCTGAAGACAGCTGTGTTTTGTAATCAAGCATTGTATCAATTTGAGTAACTAATACTAAGAAATGCTAATAACTTGATTGTTGCATCAATCATTTTTGTCAAATTAGCATAACCATGCCCATGCCCATACTCTGTGTTCACTAAAGCAATATAGATACTACCAAAACCATCATCCAATGCCTAAAGGATAAACATGAGATATTGACATAGTGAATCTTCATTCAATATCTTCTTCTTCTATTTTGGTATGCTCTAGGGCATGTACCTCTCTTTCAGGTAGTAACCCATATTCATTTAGGAAAGACTCCACATCCCCAGCAAAAAATTCTTCAGCAAACTGATCAGCAACACTAATAAAATTGCTTATGAGTTCCCCACCTTTATAGATGAGCAGTGTAGGAAGTACATCTAAGGAAAAGCGGTCCCCAGCACCTGTATTCGAAGCTTTTATTTTACAAAACTTAACTATAGGGTATTCTGCTGCAAGACATGTTAAACTACTGTTTAGAGCATCACAGCCCTTAATACCATCTTCATAAATGTGAACAACTATTGTGGTGATCTTCTGTTCCTTTTCAATTGTTTCTAGGAATTGCTCTCCAGTTTCCAGCTCATACACAAACCCATATCTAGGCCCAAAACTCAGCTTCTGGTGCATATCCTGCATACACTGTCTACGGTATTTACGAAGGCAGTTTTCATCCTCTTTCTCTTTATGGATTAGTTCATATTCTTGAATGCTCATCTGAGAATAAAGAAATGATAGAAATTATTAAGTCAGAAGTTTTATTCCTTAGGTATACCAAGCCCATTCTCAACCAAAGGAGTTTACTTTTGCTCTTTTCTCTGCCTGGACCACCTACCTTTCACTCCTGATGTGCCTTTCTCTTTCACCTCATTCAAGCTTTTGTTTAAATGTCACCTTCCTTGATCACTTTACTTAAAAAAGTCCCCATCTCACGCTCTCCACTCTTTATGCTGGTTTATTTTCTTTATAGCAACAAACACTATTATATCTTATAACTTACTGATTTTTTGGAATATGCGGGATGGAACTCAAGTAAGACAGCTTTTCCTACTGTTTGGAGTTCATCAGATCATCCAAGAGGTTAATTTTTGGACCAGCAACATCAGCTTCACTTGGGAACTTCTTGGAAATGCTAATATTTGGGCACCACCCTAGGTTTACTGAATTAGAACCTGTAAGACCGAGGTTAAGTAATCCGTATTTTAACAAACCCTCCAGGTTATTATTATTCACTAGTTTGGGCTGAAGTAAGAAAAGGCCCAAATTCCATTTTCTAAGATAGCTACTTTTCCTTACAGTTGGAATATAAAGTTACCTGCAAGGCCTTTCATAATAGCTACTCCATTATTGATGTATTTAACAGAATATTAAGTAACCGTTCCCCCAGCCAAAAAAGAGAAAAAGATAAAAAGGAACAATGGGACATTGTGTGATTAATAGATGTGGAGCAGCTCAGAACCATGCAAGTTAGATGGTTCCCATGTGGGATCATCTGCTGCCTCTTACTCATGTAACCTCTCAAACAGCAAATGCTATCAATTTTTAAAGTAGAGGAGAATTGAGAACACATGAAACTAATGTTTATGAAAAACATTCATAAGTGTTGGGCACGTCACATAGATTATGTTATCCAATCCTTACAAATAACCTCTGAGATAGGTATCATTAGTGTCATTTTACAGAAGACACTGAGATTTAAGTTAAGTAAAAGTTTATGATGCTTTCATTACTTCTTTCTTTTGTTTCTGTTTCTTATATTTGTTTCCCTAATGTCCTCATTATTTTCCTTATCATATTTTTTTCTGTTTTAAGATTACTGTCCCAGGATGGGTATGGGAGTTCATGCCTGTAATCACAGCACTTTGGCAGGCCAAGGAAGGTGGATTGTTTGAGCCCAGGAGAACAGACTGGGCAATATGGTGAAACTCCATCTCTACAAAAAATGGTGGCGCATGCCTATAGTCCCAGCTACTTGGTAGGCTGTGGCAGGAGAATCGCTTGAACCCAGGAGGTGGAGGTTGCAGTGAGCCAAGATTGTGCCACTACACCCCAGCCGGGGTGACAGAACGAGACTCTGTCTCAAAATAATAATAATAGTAATAATAATAATAATAATGATAATAATAATAATATTGTCCCAATTTAGTTTTAACCCTAAAAATTTCCAGTGTTTTATATAATTTGTATGTTGCTGCTATAGTTCTGTTAATTTAACAGACCAAACCACACAAATTTGACTTGAAGATGTATTTGAGTATTTATATGAAAACTTGTTTCATTCACATATTCAGGCATATAGATATGTAGGCATTCAGATACATTTCCAAAGTTTAACCTTGGCATACAATTTTTAATAATGATTATGTGTCACATTAGTGTAGTATTTTACATGTTTCAACATAGTTTTACATTTATTTTTTCTTTATATGTTTTCAAAACAAGTGGAGCAGGTTTGTTATGATTCCCCAGATGGAATTTTCTGTATTTTGCTTTCTCATATTGTGAAACTACCTCTAGATCAACTCATGTATTTGTAACTAATTCTTTCCATAACTGTAGGTATTCTTGGTATGGAAGGCCACAATAGGCATTCACTTCATTTCCATTTTTTTTTTTGCCAGCATAAGCAATATTGTAATCAATATATTTTGTAATAGTCTAAAATGATTCTCTAGATTGATTTAGATTAGAAAACACATTGTAAATTATTTGTTACTGATTTTTGTATTATCTTACCTTTCTGCTGACTCGTTCCTTTGAATCTTTGCCATTCCTACTCTGAGGAGAAGACATTTGCCTGAGAATCTCCTTCTTGCTAGGTGGAATTGAATCACTGTCTTGACTCTCTAATTTAAACTTTCTCCAGTCGTTTATTACTCCTTTAGGTCCTGGAATGAAATGAAAAATAAATTGTTTTCCTTTATATTTTCAAAAGGACTATTGGGATAACTGAAATTTGTATAAGTATTGTCATGGAATAAACTTATTATCTCCTGCATCAGAAACAAACATCTTGTTTGGACTAGAAATTTCTGACTGCCCTGCTCATAAAAATATGCTCCCACATTAATCTTGTTAAATGGGTTTTGGTAAAGAATCTTTTGGAAACATTTGCACTAATGAAAATATAAATTATGCACTTTGAACTACTGGCAAAAGGTTGGGGTTAATATGTTTAAAAATTAGAGTCCAGGTAGGAGACTAGAATTTTGGAAAAAATAGCACTTTTATTACCTAAGAAAAAAACTTCAGCAACAAACTAAAATTGGCATTACAGTATTAATAAAGGAAGCCAGGAATGTTGGGGAAACAAAATAACAATAGTATGTAAAGAACAATTGGTGAGCAGGGGGCCTGACCTCAATAAAACTAAAATGGCTTTAGGAAAATTATTATGAGACCATCCCATTCTTCTAAGATTCTAGGAATATTTTACAAACATAGAAAGAATAGGATTGGCAGATTTTTTTTTTTTTTTTTGAGATGGAGTCTTGCTCTGTTGCCCAGGCTGGAGTGTAGGGGTGTGATTTTGGCTCACTGCAACCTCCACCTCCTGGGTTCAAGTGATTCTCCTGCCTCAGTCTCCTGAGTAGCTGGGATTACAGGTGCATGCCACCACGCCCGGCTGATTTTTGTATTTTTAGTAGAGATGGGATTTCACTATGTTGGCCAGGCTGGTCTTGAACTCCTGACCTCAAGTAATCTACCCACCTCAGTCTCTCAAAGTGCTGGGATTACAAGTGTGAGCCACCATGCCCGGCCAGATTGGCAGATTTAAGTAAAACTAATTAAATGAAGAATGATTCAACTGGAATTCTAACATTCAGTTGACCTAATGACTAACAACATTATTCACTTAAGAAAGTCTTAAATTATTTAAAACAAGGAATATTAAGCTGATTATCATTCACTAAAGCTTAGCTATATCCACACCTTTAATGTCTGTATTCTATATCATATTCTATATGTGGATGTATTCCTTCTTTCTCCTCCATATTACCTAATAGTTTTTATTTGTTTTATATATGGTATATATTTAATATAAATTTGTTATGAATGTATGTATATTATATGCAGGCAATCAAAGCTTTTGGTTTTCCCATATAGTGTTCATATCAATATTTTTAGATAAGTTTTATGCATATTCAAAATATACATGCGTACATGTTTGTTTAAAAAAGAGAATCCATTTTGTTCCTGTTTTCTACAAATGGTGGTGTATTATATGCATTTTTCCTTACCTTGTTTTTTCTGTTTCATACTACATCTGGGAGATTTTTTTGGTATACACACATGAAGAGGTTCTTCCTTAATTAGAAAATGGAAGCATGGTGTTCCATTGTGTAGATATACATAATTGACTTAAACAGTTTTGTAGTGATCTACATTGTTGTTTCCAGTTTTTTCTATGACATATGACACTGAGTGAAGAATCTTGTGCATACATTTTTAAAACTCTGTGCAGGTATAGTTATGGTTATATAAGTAAAATTCCCTGGTCAAAGGGCATATACATTACTAATTTTGATATTGCTAGGTTGCCCCTACAGAGATTGTACCGGTTTACACTGCTATCAGCAATGTATGAGGGTGCCAAAAATGTGTTATTAAACTTAATTACTTTCACTATAGTTTTTTGTGTTACTATTTTCTTTTTCTTTTTTCCCCCATGAATAGTCTGTCCTATCTTTTGCTCATTGTTCTATTTGGTAATTGGTTCCTTTTCTTATCGATTTATAGGAGCTCTTCATATATATTAGGAAACTGACACTGTCGATTGAGTTGCAAATGTTTTTACCCTATTTGTTAAATGCTTTTTGACTTTTGTTCGTGGTGACTTTTACCAGACAGCAACTATTTCTTCCTTTTTTTCCCTGTCTCCCACTTTCCCTCCATCCCTTCATCTATCCGTCCTTACTTCCTTTTTATAAATGAATTTACCAACCTTTTCTTCAGTGGTCTTTTTGTTGTTGTTTTTGTTTTTGTCATATTTAGGAAGGTATTCCTCACATTGCTATTATAAAATAAATCTCCACACATTTTGGCTGGTAGTCTTGTGAATTCTTTCAAGCTTCTGGCTAAATTTAATGGCTCAATCCAAATTAAAAGAGAGAGGAAATTACCATTCAAATAAGATTCAATAGAGTTAAATGGGAATTTTTAAATTTAAGTCATGATATTTAAGTTTTTTAAGCTCTTAGGAGTGGCATATAGATAGCCAAACATAATTTAACAGATTAAGAAAACAGACTCTGGATGAAATGAACTGTTAGGTTTTCTGGAGGAATACTGAAATTTATTTATTCAAAAAAATAAAGGGACTATCTTATCATTCCCTTTTTTTTTGAGATTAGAAAACTGAAATTAAAGGCCATTTAGTTACCTTTTGGTCTAACCTTGTTTACAGTGAAAGTTTGTAGTGAGGGTGGGGTACAATCAGGAGAGAGGAAAGTGACTTAATTATAGTGTAGATAAGAGGTCTTGTGATAGTTGGTCATCAAGAAATTACCAATAATTAGTGTTTTTTTTACTCTTTGACATCTAAATAAAACTGTTAGGAATTATTTGATTTCAAAAACTAATTTGCCCACTCAAATATTTTTTAGATTAGTCTAACAATTTATATAAAGATATTACTTAAAGTACATACTGAATAATGTCAATAAGAACATTAGATATTGCCATATTTAATTTTAAGTTAATAATTATTTTTTCTTCTTGCTTTGCTTGCCTGTATGTGTGGCCTGTCCTTCAAAGTCTTCCTCCAAACTTTGACTTTTGGCTTCTTCCATTTTAGGGATTCGATTTGATATAATCTATAGGAGGAACAAAGAAATAATAATGACACAAGAATTCCAGGATGTACCTACATATATATATATACACACACAGATAAATATATAGATATATGCATATTTATAGTCTCCTGCTGCCAGATTCCATAAGTAGGCTAAGGATAATCACTCAGTGATAAAGTATTTAGAATGTTTCTGTCCGCAATGTAAAAGGACATTAATTTAACATGTATTATTAAAGATGTCTGGACTTAAGGATTTTATATAATTCATCATTTATCTTTTCTTAACTCAAGTGTTCCAGTTAAGTCTATGTGGTTAGTGAACATTATTTATTACTGATTTTCCTAATTTCATAATATTATGTGAAATTTGAATATATAAGAAGTAATATATGTTATTTATTTCATATAATAAAAATTAATAATTATATACTTGCTATGAACACTATGTGTCAGGCATTGTTTAAATTATTTTATGTGTCAAAACTCATTTAATTCTCATATAGCCATATGTGGTAGGGACAAATGTTAATGACATGTTATAACCGAGGAAGCTGAAGGGCAGGGAGTTTAAGTTGCTTGCCCAAGATCACACAGTAAGTGGTGGAGCAAAGATTTGAACCTACATTGTCTGACTTTGGAGCCAACTCTTAATCATTACACTATTATGGAAATTAACATACTATAATAGAGTCATTTTTCTCAGTATGATTTGGCCAATCGAATCTTTGAATTGGCATTAAAGAATGATGGTCTAAGGAACACTATTCAATAGCATCTCTCCATACCATGGGGCAAGTTTTCATGACAACAGTATCCACCAAGCAAATGAAAATAGCCAGTAGCTAAGCCTATAGTATTTTTTTTTTTTTAAGTTTTTTGAGAGAGGGTCTAACTCTGTTTTCCAGGCTTCATTCAGTACAATGGTGCTATCTTAGCTCACTGCAGCCTCAAACTCCTGGACTCAAGTGAGTCCACGTCAGTCTCCTGAGTGGCGGGGACTACAGGTGTGTGCCACCACGCCCTGCTAATTATTTTTTTATTTTTTGGTATGTTGCCCAGGCTAGTGTCGAACTTCTCGCCTCAAGTGATCCTCCCACCTTGGCCTCTCAAAGTGCTGGGATTATAGGAGTGAGCCCACGCTCTGCCAGTTTATAGTATTTTTGACAGGCTAAAATAGAAAATCACTAAAAGCACTTGGATTTTTATTCATATGAAACTCCTTGGTGCCCTCATGTAGAATCTATTTATTCTTTTGTTCTATCTGGTTCACACTCAAATCAAATATATTTCCTATTTTAGCTTTGGACTATCTGGAAAACTCAATTATTATACAAACTAACATATTCCCTCAAGTGTTCATATAGTTGTGATTTTCCTGAAGTTTTCAAGTCAGGGAGGATATACTAACAGTAGATAAATTATCTTGTTTTTACACTTTATTCTTTCACTTTTTTGGCTTTGCCTCCTTCTTTCGAAGTCAGTTTTAGGCACTAATATCGCACAGCTTATACTTTGAAACTCATCTTAGTTTTCTGTTGATTTACACTTCAATCCTGCATTTGGTTTGTGTGGTGCTTTCCCAAGGCGCAGGGTGGTAAGACAGAACTCTCTCTTAATTTCTCTTCTGCCTTTACCTTTGGTCTCCACACTTGGAGTGGTCCTGTAATTTTGTTTCTCTTTTTGCAATCCCTATCCAGAATCACTGGAGGTCAAATGTCTTTGCCAATTTGATTTTTTCCATTTGAACAAGAAAAGACTGTGAAGGGAAAGCCAATCAATTTCACAATGTTTAGGTAAGTATAAATGTAATAAAGAATATTATATTTGAATGGATTTAGTAATTAAAAAGTATAATGGAAAATGGAAAGTAAAAGCTGCTGGACAGAAAAGCCATTTTATTTCTTACTGCAACTATTTACAAATAAATTTTGATCTGAAAAGACATGAAAATTTTTGCTTCAAAAGAAAACTACAAAACAAAGAAATGGAAATTTATTTGATAATTTCAATAGCTTTTCAGTTCTCAGAAAAATAGAGACTCAATCCAGTCTCTTTACTTTTTAAGACTGGATTGTTAATTTGGGGTAGCTACTATTCTCAGTAAATATACATAAGTTTAAGGAAATCTAAAAATTTTATTTCAAATGCTGAAGATACAGGGCACAGCTTCCTTCTTGAATTGCTTGCTGTTTACCTAGTTGACAATCTACTGGGAAAAATAAATTCCTTTTTCAGAAAAGGTTTTCACCAATTTCAGGGAATCCCTTTATTAAAAGATAATCCAGTTACTTAGGACAAAACTTGTTTGTTGATTGGATTAATATATGTTGAGAATAGACTATATGCTAGACATTTTCCTGGGCTCTGAATTACATGAAGAACAAAACTCTTCCAGTATGACGCTCACTAATACTAAGACTTAAATCAGCTGGGTTGCCTGTTTAAGTCAAGGACAGAGTCCATCCTTATCTAATACCTCCATTTGAGTTAGAGTACAAGGATTGGCAAACATTGGTACTGTTTACTGCCAGGGAAGCAGTGAACAGATTGAAAGAAAAATATTAAGACATGAATGTGTTTGTTTGCACTGCTTGAAGCACCTAGAGGAAGGCACAAGTAGAATATTATTAGCTATTAATAGATTTCATCTACTTTCCTATTAATTTATCCTGTCACCAACTCACTATTGGGTTTTCTGATTGTCCCCAAATCTTATCTTTTTCAAAATTTACATTAGCATCATACAAGTAATTTTTTAAAAATCTTTTTTAGACAGACTCTCACTCTACTGCCCAGGCTGGAGTGCAGTGGCATAATCTCCCCTCACTGCAACATCTGCCTTCCAGGTTCAAGAATTCTTGTGCCTCAGCCTTCCAACTAGCTGGGATTACAGGCATGGGCCACCACACCTGGCTAATTTTTGTATTTTTAGTAGAGATGGGGTTTTACCATGTTGTCCAGGCTGGTGTCAATCACCTGACCACAAGTGAACCGCCTGCCTTGGCCTCCCAAAGTGCTGGGATTACAGGCATGAGCCACTGTGCCCGGTTGGTATAAGCAATTTAATTGGAATATTTGCAAGGTGCTTAGATCTCGGCACATGGTAACTGCTCTAGGAGTCTGTTAGATAAAATAAAAATACATCTTTTACATATGTGTATGCAATGTATCAGTCATTTAAAAATATAAACATTTCATTTACAATGCTATTATTTCGTGGTTAAAAGATTTCATGTCTACTTTAGGCTAAAACATTTAAAATGACAATAGGATTATTACAGGGCTTTGGGTAAGCACATCTTCGTGTGATTGGAAATTGGTAATAAGGTAAGGCAAGAAGACAGAAGGTAAAAATCTTGCCTTCACCAAGATTTACTTTGGTTCAAAAGAATTATTGTATTTTCCACATCACAAAATTATGAAAAACTGCGATTTTGTATTTTTTAAAATTTTTAAATAGTTATATTACTGTTTCAATTAAAACCTGTAATAAGTAAAAATTATATATGGATCCTTTGACAGAATAATGTGCATTTAAAAGAATATTATCACCCTCTTCAAAAGTAATAGTAAAAACTAATATTGGGGAGAAACACAGCTTAAAATAGAATTTTACCAAGTTAGGGTTTTATTTTCCTCTTAATTTAGGATTTTAATAATTTTAAGTAGTAGTTTATAGAGGATAACACTTCTCAAACCTTGTCCTCAAAATTCTAACACCTCCCAACTATGGCTTAGTAATTACCAAGAAATAAAATGAGACAAATATAAATGGTCCTGCATGTTGTTCCTGTTTCATATATGATAGCGAGGATCTAGAATACAAAGGAAGTGAGTAAAATTTTTAAACATTAGTTTTAAAAGACTCTTTTAAAAAACAATCTACTCCTAAACATTTCATTATCATCATTATCCTTGGTCACATGACAATTGTCAGTCACTTCAAACCTGTTTAATCTAATCAGACTATCTAGTTTTAAATTAACTTGTATATTCTCAGGATTGCTTAAGAAGAGCTTAGCTTTCAAGACTAGCTATTGTAGTTTATTGGTAGATTTTCAAATAGTTGGAATTATCTAATCACTATGTGATATAGACTGACTTCTCTCCTAGCATCCACAACAACTTACAGCATTTATTTTTACATGTTTTTCTCCACTATTGTAAATTCTTTGAGGACGGAGGCAATTTTTTACTTGTTGTTGTACCTCTTATAATCATTTCATACATTGTAAATACTTCATAAATGACAGTGGCAAATTTTGAAGAACCTACTATGTGCGGGATACTCAAGACACTATTTTTAATCCACACAAAATTATTATCCTTGTTTTTCAGAGGTGAATTGTAGACTCTGAGAGATTCAGTGACTTACCAGAGCTCACAGAGGTATAGAGGGGGTATAGAGCCAGGTTTCAAATCTCTGACTCTCAAATCTCCAAAATTTCTATTTTTTCCATTACACCATTCCACTTCAATAAAATGCTTAATGAATGAATGTGTTAACCACAGAAGCCGACCTAATTTTTTTGTATATGCATTAAAACTAAGATGAGGACATGGAAAGCAATAAATCAATAAGTCACCATGTCTCTAAATTCCTTGAGACAGTACTTATTTGAATGATATATTTTTGCTTTGGATTAAACCTCATTAGTTTATACTGAATGTAATAGGATAGTTTCTTTCTTTCTTTCTTTTCTTCTTCCTTTTTTTTTTTTTTTTTTTTTGTTTTTTGAGACAGAGTCTCGCTCTGTAGCCCAGGCTTGAGTGTAGTGGTGTGATCTCACTCACTGTTACCTCTGCCTCTCGGGTTCCTGTTCAAGCAATTCTCCTGCCTCAGCCTCCTGAGTAACTGGAATTACAGGCACACGCCACTATGCCCAGCTAATTTTTGTATTTTTAGTAGAGACGGAGTTTCACCATGTTGACCAGGCTGGTCTTGAACTCCTGACCTTGTGATCCACCTGCCTCAGCCTCCCAAAGTGGTTGGGATTACAGGCGTGAGCCACTGCACCTGGCCTATTTCATGTTAATGGAATTAATTTTAACTGACTAGTAACAACTCTGGAACGTCAGTATAAAAGACCTGCTGTTGGTTTTTGACAATCATATGAATTGATTGAGAACTTATCATCAGTCTTGCATCTCTAGGTCATTTGTAAAAGCAAGTGTAATATGCAGTATGCATCAATTATACATAAAAATAAAGCTAGGAAATGTTCTTTCTAGAGCTACTCTTACACGTGGCCAAGTTATGGAAACATTACACTGTGAGCTTTGTGTGGAGATTTATATTGTAAAGCGAGATATTTCACTCATGGATTCGTATCAACCAATAAAAAAATTAATCCTATATTCCAAAGAATAGTATTTGATTTTTAAAATGTATTTGAAGTTACAATTCTACAGATTCAGAGATCTTTAAGATCAATTTCTAAAATAAGTCTATTTGTTTCTTAAGCTTCTTATGATCTAGCCCAAGTTTTGTATAAAATCTCAGTGTGTGGCTTATGTTTGAAAACTAACACTTCAGTCTCTCAAACTTTCTGCCACTCGTTTATTCGTCAGAAGTCATAAATAAACACAGTTCCTTGGTACCTTTGTCTGCTTGGGCTGCTATAACGAAATATAGACTGTGTGGCTTGAAAAACAGAAGTTAATTTTCTCATAGTTCCAGAGGCTAAACGTCTCAGATAAAGATCTAGTAAAGCTGGCTTCTGGTGCGGGCCTGGTTCCTGGCGTGCAGATGTCTGCCTTCTCACTGTGTCCTCATATGACCGAGAGTGGGTTAGCTCCCCGGTGTCTTTTCTTGTAATCCTATGGGATCAGAGCCATACCCGTTGACCTCATGTAACTTTAATTTCTTCTACAAAGCCCGTATTTCCAAATACTGTCATATTGGGGGTTAGGGGCTCAATGTATGAATTTTGAGGGAATATAATTCAATTCATAGCGCCTGGATCTGACTTTTGCAAAGAATGACTTTACACAGATGCCCTCCACTATTTCTTTATCTCCATAGCCTGCCTTTTCTTTAATTCCTAAAGCTTTGAGCCTCTGGATTTTTCAGGGTTCCCCACCTACCCTTTAAAATTGCAGTTGGGGAAATGAGGCATACCTAAAATTAACTCTTTTTTTTGCTTTTTTTTGACTATTCCACTACAGTTTGCCATGCCTGGTGGAACCGCCCAATCCTGGGAGTCCTAGAAGAGCCTCACAAAAATATAGGCCAGTCCGGTGCGGGACTCATGCCTTAATCCCCAGCCACCTTTGGAGCCGCGAGGCGGCGGATCACTTGGTCCAGCGAGGATAGAGATCAGTCCTGCTAAGCACGGGTGGAAACCCCGTCTGTACAATCATCACAAACAACTAGCTGGCGCGTGGTGGCGGGTGCCTGTATCCCCCAAGCAACTGGGAGGGCCGAAGCAGGCAGATATGAGGACAAACCTGGAGCGCGGGCGCAGTGAGCCGAGATCGCGCCACGCACCCAGCCTGGGCCACAGAGCGAAGGACTCCACATTAAAAAGCAAAAAAAAAAAAATATATGATAGTATATCACACAATAATATATACTAGAAGCTCATGCCACGCCAGTCATCCTCTGCATGTAGGTCTCGCCGTTACTGTCTTACTGCCGCTTTCTGTCTTGTTTTGCAAGTTTAACGGACAAAGATATTTAGTATTCTAATACTAAGCGCGTGGCGCTGTCACGGCTCAGGATATTGCTCTAAAAAAGTAAATCAGAAAAGTGGTGTACAGACTTAGTATAGAGCATATATACTCACTTTAG